ATAAGTACCTACTGGAGTATTATTATACTTTATACTAGTAATTTATATAGCATAAATAATTCAAATTAATTAGTAATAAGGTTACATTATTTATTTACTTTTAATTTCGACATATAATTTAAGGTTACTAATTTTAATACCACTATGTTTACAGATAACATAATTTGAGAAACTATCCGAAAACAATCATTATATATTTGTATTAAAGTACATAGTACTTAAACTAATATTAATGCGATAATATTAATTTCTTTGGTAATAAAAAGGAGAAACATAAATATTTATAAAACACTTTACATGATAAATGTATGAAAAACAAAAATAGAAATATGCATATATATTATTATTTGTTTGTTTTAACTTATAAGTAAATAATAGTTTAAAATAAAAGCTATGTTCATGGTTTATTAAGCAAATTTAAACAACATAAATGAACTGTTTATTATTAATAATTATCAACAGCAAAACATCATATGATCAGTATCAATTTTTAAGTACATTTAATATATTCAGATAAGACATATATGATTGATAATTGAATAATAAAAAAAATATATATATATCGAATAAATGTTTGAAATAATAAAATATTGTCTTATGGAAAATAAAACAATTATCACAAAATATAATTTTATATAATATGTAAGTTAATGTACAGCAAAATTATAAACAAAAATTATAATATACTAAAATCAAAATGATATGGAATAGAAATAATAAATATTGAAAAATTTGATACTTCTAGAGTGGTCTATGTGAAAAAAAACAGACATTTAAAACATCATATAAATCATAATGTTATACTTAGTCAGCAAATTAAAATTAACTTTATGTGAAAGTAATTTACATTTTGAAATGCTGGCATGTTCTTGACGATCTATGTAAATCAGCCAAATATTAACTGTGTTAAAAATTATTTCATTATTTGGAATGATAACTTGGAAAACAATAATTCCCCCACATAAAATATAATGATAATTTTCAGTCCTTACATTACTACAATTACAAATATCTATAAATAGATTAATTAAATAAATACATCACATAAGATAATTATAATTCGTACATCTTAGTTTCATAAACGTACACACAACAGCAATTATATAACTCAATTTATTTAACATGAAAATATTCTGTTGGACTAACAAAATTCATGACAGTTCGAATCCAGTATTTGATGAAATTGCATACCTAAGTTTGTCTCTAAGAATACTTTTTTTCTGATAGTTTGGAAGCTTGAGCAAGTTGAAACACGTAGATGCTGAAGGAAGTCTAAGATTTGGATCTTTTTACGAATAGTGAAGAATCCTCGAATAACACTAACTATAAATAAGAAAAAAAATTTAAACTATGAATAGAACAAACATAACTTTTAAGTAGATGTAATTGTGTTTACCAAGTGTGTCACCAAAATCTTCATCGTCTGCTACTTGAACACATCTTATGGAAAATGGAGGCTCCAAGTATGCAAATCCAAGTAAAGGTGGTTTTGAACAACTTGTTACAAACTGCAAGTTAAATATTTAAAACATTTATTTTCGTTTCCATTTTTATAAATGTACCACATACTTTCAGGAAAAGTGATCTTTCTTTTTCTGTGAAGTCTTTTTGAAGAACTTCCCACAACCACATAATCACACGATGTGAGTCATGAAATCCTCCATAATATTGTGGGGTTCTTCTGAGATCAAGCAAATCAATAGGAGCGTTGTCTCCAGATATCAGTTTTTGAAGCTAATAATAAAAATTTAATTATTAAAATTAAAGAATTTTAATAAATGATAAATTGTTACTTCTGGAGTAGAAAATAATGATAACCATTCAGGATTTATTACATATTTAAACCCTTTGATAAAAGCTGCTGTTTGTGCTTTGATCTGAGTATGCATTACATAATGTGCCATTAAATGCACATAATTAATCCTGAAATCATTAATTTAAAATTTAAATAATAAATATTATGGTTCGTTATAGTTTATAACTTAATTATAGTTTGTGATTAAATTATTATGCTACATTTTCTTTGTTAAAATGTTAAAAATAGTTAAACATATTATTTAACTTATCTGAGGATTATAAATATTTCACTACCAATCTATTTAATTACACTGCTGCTTTTCTACAATTGTATATTATTTAGTAAATTTTATATTAGGTTTATAAAACATTTAACGTTTTTGAAAATATTAAATAAACTATTTATCCAAAACCATAGTATACCTAACTTATAGTATTTATCAAATAAATCTGAATATTAATTAGTGATGGGTCAAACCTGGATTTTCGAAACTGAACTGAACTTTAATTTGAAATTTTCATCATACCGAGTTTCAAATTTTGAACCAAACGGAACGTCAATGGTTCGGTTTGGTTCAAGATTTGAACAGTTTGGCACATCACTAATATTAATATTGATAATACTATTAATTATTAAACATGTTTATTATAAAATAATTCAAACAAATAATAAATAATAATATTACTTGTTTTGATTAGTAACTGATATGACTCTTCCACCGGGTATAAGATCATGAGTAGTTAATTCACCAAGGTGATTATCAACTACTGAAAAAGTCAAATCTAAATCTGAAACATCGCCCTCATGATGTTTAACAGATGTTAAATTTCTATACAATTCATTGTCTAATGACGGCAACTCATCCATTGAACTATATAGTAGCTCTTGAGTTTGACCTAATAATTGACTTAAAAAGAATGATGCAAATGGAACGTCAACAACAATACCCTATGAATAATAAAATTAATTCCATTTTAATAAATTAAAAAACTAAAATAGACGGTTTAAAATAATTACCTCATAAACAGCTTTACCCAATATGCGACCAACAAATTCAAATAAGTTCAAATGGTTTTCTTGAATATGAGATGAAGGCGATGGATATAACCTTTGTTCATCTGTAGTACGAAATAAATTTAATGATGGATCAAATACTCTTTTTATAGTTTCTTCAAGAAATTCTGTAAATATAATTTGTTAATATCTATAACATTGAATATCAAGTTTATGAAAACAGACCTTTAAATACACCATCTTGATCAATTCCTGCTTCATCTAATCCCTGTTCATTTATGAATTTTACTCTAATTACACCTTTGAAACGTTTCAGTGGCAATTCAGAGACGTATGTATAACCATCTTCAATTATTCGATTCCTATGCATGTTTGTAAAATATTTTAATTAAATTTTTTAATTACTTCATTAAATTAATTTTACCTCCGTATTGTAATTATTGGTGGCATGAAATTTTCATTATCATGTAATTCATGTACACCCAAAGCAAACTTTTCACGAGAAACATATTTTCTAAATAATCGAACACGTGTTTCATGAGAAACTATATGAGGGATTTCTTGAATTAAAATCTAAATACAAAATGTAATTATTAATAGTTATTTAAATAAATTAAAATTAAAAAAAATTCAATACCGAGTATATTTTACGACCCTTTTTAAGTTCATTAAAAAATGAAGAAGTTTTATGATCACCAATCAGCCAGTGTCCTGCAGGTGCAAATGATCTACGACAATCCCTGCGATAAAGTACCATTAAAAGAGTGCGACAAGATCGAAACAAGCTATATGATGAAGAAGTTATATCTTGAATATCTAAGATATCCAAAACAACAAAATATACATTTTTATAAAATACACATTTGTTAAAAATAAAAATAAAAACAATTTCTCACTAAATAAATTCTGAGATATTCCTTTATAAAGAAATATGTTCAAAAAACTAGACATTAAAATGTAGTCACGCATCACAAATGGTTTTTGTTGCTCGTACATTTCTATATCATCAAGAATTCTAAAATAAATAATAAATATTAATGTTCTTAATTTCATGAATCAATTATTGTTCTAACAAATAACTTACATTATGTAATGTGACATACTATCACAGAATAGTTGTAACATGCGCGATTCTCCTGAATTGCAATTTTTATCACATTCTAAAATATCCAATAGGTTCTTAAGACCACAATGAGAATCTAAAAATGCCAAAAACCTCCATAATAAATACAATGTGTCCTCGTGATAACATAAACCTAAAATAAGAAAATAGTTATTAATTTAAATTTTTAAAAAATTATTGAACAATATGTTTACCAGTTATTATGTCCAGTCTAAGTTGTGTGATTGTCTTAAGGCATGTAAAATATAAGTTGCAAGCAGCAACTACCTTTGTACCATGAACTCCAGTAAGTTTATAACTTGATTGACTGGTACTGGATAGTCTCAAATCAAATGCTTTTCTATTAGGAATAATAATTTTTATTTAAGATTTTTTTATAATTATTCTAATAGTAAAAAAGTTACTTGATTATTGCTATAGGGTTATTTGTTTTAGGAGGAGGTGATGGTACTTGTTGATTTTCGGGTATTTGTGCTAAAGCATTAATTAGATGACACCGAAGTAACTTGGAACATAAAGTTCCACACCATAATGGAATTAATTGATTTTTCAAAGGTGGTATATTAGGAGAACATTGACAATTTGAATTTGCTGTGAACCAACCAAGTTCAGGATGCCAAACGCTAGATACATTTGAATGTTTTTTCACTACATTTACTCTAATAGTATCCAAAAATGTTGTTAAGCCAACCTGAAAAAAAAATTATTGATTTATCTCAACTTATTTAAATTGGTACTGGTCTAGTTGAGCCCGTTATGAAAGTATTCCTCCGCCACTCGAGAATAGTTTACGCCCGCCACATACATCTCTATATACTGCATATATCTGCGTTAGGTATTTGTGTGAAATTCACTTATATTTTAAGAATAATATTTGGTAAAATCTGTTAGTAAAATTAATGATATAAGATAGGTAGGTAATAGGTATAACAGCAAGTATCGTACCTATATAATATTATGGAGTACCTATCTCAGTTATTCAGTCGTCATTAACACTGAAATATATATATATTATACTGAAAATACCGTAGTTCTAAAACAAAAAAAAAATGAATTACCGACAAATAGTTTTCATACCTTTTTGTATACATTTTAGTAAGTGGCACTAACCAAACCTGAGTGGAGGGGAATACTTTCTAGGCGGGGGTCAGATCAGTACCTAAAAATTATTATGACTTTATTTTAAAATAATTGATGGACATTAGGTATCTTTTATGACATTAATTAATTCTTATTTATAATCTATTTTTAGTAACATGGTTACGGCATATATAACTATAGTTGACACTTGACATTAATGTATTCAATTAAATTGGGTAAAATAATTTTCTGATTTATGATACCTATTTATAATTAAAATAGCAACATACAAACATAAACAATGTTATTGACTTTAATTTTATAATAGGTCAGTCTGATATAATTGGTAATAACTAGGGCTCAGGACTTGTTGCACTAAAAATTATCGAAATATGCAGTTGACATTGCCAAAATATGTTTAAATTTATGCAGCTAAATTTCAAAATTATTTTTTCAAAATGCATAAGACAAATAACATATTACAATTTCGGAAATAAAAATCTCAAAAATAAGTAGGTACATAAACATTATAAAAATAATTTATACAGGGATTTACAAATTCAAACATAAATTGATTTCTAAATGGACACTATCGCATGCATGTTTTGGGAATTTTTAAACTATTGTGAAATAAAACATTTTATAATTTGTTTTTATTCTAAATAATTTTATCGGCTTCTTAATGACTTGAAAGTTTAATTAAAACCAACTTTTGATTTTTAAATGGTAACACATAATCATTGTTATTTGTAAAAATTAATATTAAACAGTTAATTTATTAATGACAATTTTTTAAATATTTAGAAATATGATTTCATATTGATTTAATAATTAAAATATAATTTACTTGGCTACTTTAATGAGCCCATTAATTTTAATTTTGGGAGCCGCCAATGTATGAAGCAAACCACATTGTTTAGATATGTTTATAAAATGGATTATAAAATGAAGCCACATTTTAAATTTCATAGCAAATGAAGGAACATTTATTTATTTATAGAAATAACTTAGAGCCACATACAACTGACTTAACTGGCTCGCAAGCCTTGTTATGGCCACCCCTGCCATATATAATAGTTGGTTGGGACTTGAAAATGTATTTAAATTATTAAATACATTATTGAATTGATATACACATGAACTGGTTTCATAAAAAAATAATGTTTGAAACTTACAATAAAAACAGATGTAGAATTATTTTCAAATTCATCTGTTTCTGCGCATAATTCAGCTAAATGCACAATGTTTGCAATTAATGACAAAGACCAACTTGGATGTAAACAATGAAATATTTCATCACATTGATTTTGATCATTTAATAACTGCATTATCTTCTCAAGTAGATTAACAGAATTAAATGTTTCAATAATCTAAAATATATATTATTGAATACATGGTTATGATCTATTAAAACTATAGAATACCATTAGTTTTTAGCATTAAAATAAAGAATTATATAAAATACTAAAATACTCACTTTAGGCGAGAGAGATATCAAATGCTCTACCAATAAAGGTATAGAATAAATCTTTATTACAAATAGTTGGAAAATATTAGTTGAAAAGTTGCTCAAAACTAAACATCTCCAGCAAATAGTCATTATAGCTGTCATAGCTACAGGTTTTAATAAGATTTTAATGCCCGATAAACCAGTTATTAGCAATGTCTGAAAAAAAATTAATTTGGTAATAAATTCACAAATTAAAATGCATTTAATTTGAATACCTGCATAGTGTTAAACACATTTTTATTCAATAAATGTGCAATCAAATTTTCTGTTAAACGCTCTAATCCAGGTTTTAATCCTTGCAAAGAAATATTTGAATGTATGGCAGACCATCTTGATGTTGATGTAAAAGATACAATCATGTGAAGTAAGGTGTGTAAAAAAGAAGAATCTTCTAATGATTTGGGCTGAAGTTTAGTAAGATAAATTAGGCAAATAGACAGAATTTCTTTGACATGACTTATCCAGTTAACTGCATGCTCACTAGTCAAAGCTACAGATATGTAGCTACGTTTGATTGCATCACATTCCAGACTAAGAATTATATATCTAAAATGTTAAAAAATAAATTTATTAAACTATAGCTCAGTTAATAAAGCTACATAACCTAAATACAATATTATCAGTGGTGAATATTGACTCTAATGTATGGGCATGCTCATCTATCATAATTTATTATAGTTTTATTTAATTTATAATTAATAAATTATACACTAATTTGTATTTATTTATTTAATTTAATAATTTTAATTAAGATTTGACTAACTCTTCTCAATTCTTTTTTCTTTTTCAACAAACTTTTTTGTTATCATCTACTTTAGAGTAAAATCAGGGCTCATTTTTAAATCTTCTAATACTTTTTTTCAATTGATAATATTTCAAGAGAAGATAGTCTTGACATTTAAGCAGACCTACAATATGTTTTAATTCTTTTGAGTGCTGAAAATGTTCTTTCGCTGATGCTGTTGTACTTGGAATAGTTGCAATTAATTTAGCTAGTTTATATGCTTCTTTCAGCCCTAAGTCTAATTTATTTGAATTTATGTATTTGATTATTTCAAAAATTGGTTTAACTTTAAATTCTGCTGAACTGTACAAAATATGTAACTCATATTTTAACCGGCAAATATCAAAACATCATTCAGTTTCTACGATAGCCAGATATACTTATTATAGTACTAAACACAACACAATATTAAAAAATAGCAAAACAAAATAAAGAACAATTGTCAAATACTCGTACTCGTAAATTATATTATAAAATTCATTGACAAAGTGCAACTGACTGAACATGCTCTAGGTGGTTAGTATCGAAATCTGGAAATAACCGGTATTTCGCACCAATAATAAGCATCGTGTAACTTGAGCACACAGCTATCGCATGTTCTGTTAATAAAGGTTACGATAAAGTTAAACACAGAGAGTATAACAGAAATAGATGACATTCATGTCGTACATTATGATTTTTTTAATACGTAATATCATATTGATGACAACATAATTTTTGTATTTTTATTAATTACTTAATTCCTGAGCATGCCTGGAGAATTCGCCACTGAATATTATATATTTATATATGTAACTTATACTAGAACTTGAAAGAAATTAAAAATGTCTTAAGATCTATTATACATATTGTAATATTGTAGACATAATTTATTGTATAGAAGCTGTAAAATGTGTAAAATAAATATAAAAATGTGTATGAGTAGAATCAGTCAAATTGTTAACTCCAATAATTAATATAAGTTAAATATGTATCTAACCTGCAGAGTTTTTCAAATCTTTGTTTTTCTCTCTTTTCATCCCAATAAGTCAAACATTTTTTCACAGATAAATAAACAGTAATAGCAGGTTTCAAATCATTGATATTCTCAAACGTTTCATCAAATTGTTGCCTATAAAATATAAACATATAAAAAACCAAATAAATCATGATAGTTGATGATTTTTATATAAAAATGAGAAAATGCCAAAACTGACAGGATTAAGTTTCGAGTGCGTTTGCGAACTAGCCATCCTCTGATCCAAGATTGAACGAGGATAGCAGATTGCTCACGTTTACGATCATTTGCTCTTTCTATTCTTGCAGCTCTTGTTTGTTCTATGAACTGCATTTTAGAATGCTCACCAAACATCATTCTGATGAAATAAAGGCACAAAAATACATGATTTCGTTAATTATTTATGCAATTGACTTTAATAAATAAGTAATAACTTACTTAATTAGATATATTATATGCTCATATTTTGTTTCAAAACTTGTGATCAAAAAACGAAGATCGGAACAATCAAATCGTTTATACTTTCATAACAAAAGTTGTATCAAGTACTAATGATAATTAATTGTGCGTATTTTACATTTTAACTCATTCACGCCTTTTTGTAAATTAGCCCATATCCGTATTGTGTCTCTGGGTACAGATGGTATATTTCTTTAAAAAAAAAAAAAAAAAAAAAAAAATAAGCAACACTTACTTTATTAAGATTGATATACTTTTGAAATCAAAATTATTTTCATTTCCAATAAATAAAACATCACTATTACAATTTGATATCTCAACAGGATATGTAGAAATACATTCAACGGATGACTTAGTGATATCTTCATTTTCAAATAAATATTTATCATCATAATTTCTAAAAAAATAATAATAAGTTTATTAAAAAAACATGGAAACTAATCAATTACTAATAAAAAGTTGTATACAATTATGTTACATTAAAATTGTTTAATACAAAATTAAAAATTAATTATCAAAAAAATAAACTGAAATTAGTTCAAGTTATTTTTTGATTAAAGGGATGGGAAAAAATACAAAGCCAGACAGAGTACTGTAAAGCAGTGGTATATGAAATTGTATTACCTTGACGTGGGCCGAACTTTTAAAATATAATTAACTAGCATAGTATTGATTGAAATTTGATGTTTAACCTTAAATCAATTTTATAATTTATTTACCAACAATCAAAGCAATTATTCTATAATACAGACAAATTGTATGTATAAAAAAATAACTATCACAAGAAATGGTCCCAATACTTGAAAAAATAAAGAGACAATGGGTGGAGAATGGTGATATATCTGCATCGTTCATCCAATTGAATATATGACAACATTGTACTATATAAGATAATATGATAAAAAGAACAGTTTACTTACTTCATAAAATCTGTCGTACATACTACATATATTATCAGAATTATTCTGAACACCTTTATTTTGTATAATAACATTTCCATCATTTATACCACTGCTAGAAATCTCATTATTTTGCTCTTCATCATATTCTACCTAAAAAAAACTACAAAAAAATAAAATTATATTAATAAAATACTATAATCATATTATGAAATATAGCTTATGGTACCCACCTTTGCGAACAAGAAAGTGTGTCTGGATGGTATACTAACTTGTGTTTATTTACATGATGCAACCATTGTCTTACTTTAGAGTTTGACTCTATTCAGTCAGGCTGCATGCCATAGGGACGTAATGGCAAAGAAGACGAATCCTTTGGTAAATTACTTGTACTGCTTTTAACAGCCCCTAATGTATTATATTTTTTAGATAAATTGATCAATTTCGCTGACTGGGTTCTTCTATGCCGGGCCTCCATAGCAATTAACCAAAACAATAATCTTCGAACAACAATAAAACAAACGACATAACATTAAAAGGACGCTACACCCGCATGTGTTGTCTCCGTCTTACAAATGTACAACATAGCAAAAACTCTTTTGCGCGGGAAAGAACCGAGAAGGCTACAGTCATAACTAAGAAACGAAATTTTCACCACACAAAAAGGAGAACTTTGGCTGTGCAACGTTGTTTTTATTTTTTTGATATCATTTATATGAAAAAAGTTCTTACTGTTTCAAAAACCATTATTGTTTGTGTTTTTCAAACTTAAAAAACTTTTTTCATATAAATGATATCAAAAAAATAAAAACGACGTTGCACAGCCAAAGTTCTCCTTTTTGTGTGGTGAAAATGTTGTTTCTTAGTTATGACTGTAGCCTTCTCGGTTCTTTCCCGCGCAAAAGAGTTTTTGCTATGTTGTACATTTGTAAGACGGAGACAACACATGCGGGTGTAGCGTCCTCTTAAGCAATGATATATTGACTTGGATATATTAGATTAATAGAAATATGTATCAATATAAAATATAATCATTACATACTTGACTAAGACTGTGGAAGTCGGAAGTATTCTTATAAATATATTTTTAATTACAGACTGTCTAAATAACTGAAGTAATAACCAGTAACCACGCTAATAAGTAATAACAAATACTATATACGATAATACAGGACACTCTGTATTAAAATAGTGGCGAACAAATTGTTATCATTGCCCCGCGAGATTGTTATAAAAGTTGCCTATTTTACCCCTTAATCTGGTATAAATTCCCGCTTTTTTTGAATATTAATTACAAATACTATATACGATTATATTATTATAATACTAAATTACTAATATTATAGTAATATTGTTTGTTTTTTATCATAAATATTATCATTTATCAAGTTCCTCGGTAGGAATTGATGGCTGCAGTTTACTTTATCCTCTTGCCAAAACATTGGAATTTACTAAACATGTTTCTGCACTTTTTCATGCAAACATTGAAAACCTTATTCTAAAAAAAAAATGTAATTTAAAAAAGGATCTTAAACTTATTATAAGCCATATTTGTAAAAGGTACTCACTAAGTATATGTGAAGACTGCAATTCTCAATTTTTGGATACATTTTTAAATGTGAGTATTAATTGCTATGTGAAGAAATGCAATGATTCATTCAACCAATATAAATGTTCAAAAAATAGAAAGTTGAAAAAAGTAGTTCACGTTTGAGTACAATGTTTATTTAATTGAAAAATTATTATTAAGAGATATTCAGTTTTAAGCACCATCAGTTTTAAGCACTTATGTTATAATTTCATATTTTGATTTGTGTTGTATAATTATTATGAAAAAAGTAAAATATATAAGTATAATATATGTTTTGAATTACATTTAATTAATACCTACTATAAAGCTTACATTTAACATTATATTGTTTAGGTATCGTATTTCCCAATAGGATTTATGAACTTATGGAGATTTTAAGTATGTGTAAATATGCAAATACTATATAATATAAAATCTAAATAATTTAATATTTCTAATTAAAAATTATAATCGTTGATTGGCATTTGGCATTAGAAAATAAACAATAAATTATAAAATGAAATCGGTGTTCTAAATTAATTTGTATTTATATACATTTCAAGGAGTAAAATAGGCAACTACTTTAACAATCTCGCGGGGCAATGATAAGAAATAATTCGCCAGTTTTTATATGCCAGTGTCCTGTATTATCGTATATAGTATTTGGTAATAACTAAACTCTAAAGTAATAAGTAAGCAATTTCACATTATCAAATCAACAAAAACATTCAAATTTATTAAGGGCCGATTTCACCAACACAGTTAATCACGGTTAAGGTTAACCGGAGTTTTAATCGGCCGAATTTGGCCGTTTAAATATCTGTTATCAGCCGATTAAGCGTTAACCGTGATTAACTGTGTTGGTGAAATCGGCCCTTAAGGCGGGTTCACACTACACCGTGTCGTGTAATATAATCACGGTTACCTCAGTTACCAAACGATACCGCATAGTTGAATATATTCAACTTTTGACCGTGTGGTTACATTAAGTATGAACCCGGCTTTATCTGCACATAAATGTAACCACACGGTCAAAAGTTGAATATATTCAACTATGCGGTATCGTTTGGTAACTGAGGTAACCGTGATTATATTACACGACACGGTGTAGTGTGAACCCGCCTTTAGTCTATAAATACCATAGATCATAAAGGTTTAATATGATCTAAGATAAATACCGTGCTTATCAGTTATCACTAAGATAGTAATAATTGTTATCAAATGAATAACAACAACATAATATCATTTTAATGTTGGCCGACTTTAATTGAATCATTTGAATCATTCGATTAGGTATTTTAAATTTGAACGGAAATAGTAAATACAGACAACTATACGTTCGTACAGTATTGTATTCATACGTTTTAGTAAAAAGTTGCCATGCATAAGTGTATTCTTTTTAGTAAGACATGCAAAGTATCGCCTGGCCACATTACCTTAATTTTCATTTGTAAGTATTATTTTCTAGTTGTACTGATTATATTTCTTAATAATATGGTGCCAGTCTAATTTGTTCACAAATATAGATTTACAAAAAATGAAAATAGAAGGAAATAAATTTTCAAATTATATGATTACCCAATATCTATCTGGAACAGAATCTGCGGTAATCATTTCACAATCAGTAATTATACACAAGGCTCAGTATATAGTAGATATTATTATGGCCAGAGGCTGTCAAAAAACATAATCCAAACCTCATGTCTGTTTAGAGGTGTAAAATAAACAATATAAAATAAATTTTAATAATTTACAGCAACACTGGTACCAATCTGAATATGACTTGTAAATCATCTAAGAGGTAAAATCTTTTAATAATTAATATTGAATTATTTTAATATTAATTAGGTAGGTATTCAGATATTTTTTACAACTTAATATTTTCAGAAAATTACAACTATGAGTTTGAAGAAAATGAACAGACAAATAAAGGATTTGGAGACGTTACAGTCGATGATTTTAATTCACCCAGAAAAGCCTTAGAAACTTAATAATGTCTAATTCACACACACTTATATAAGTATATTACTCAAGTTCCGATTTTAAATGTTTGCCAAAACCAAAAGTTACTTAGTGGTTTATTGTTTTTAGTTCATACAGTGGATTATACTTATTATGGTTTCCAAAACTGAAATATATGATGTACCACATACAAGAAACTATTAAGTCGAGCCAATGTGTTGACAATTTTCAGATGTTGACTAGCTTGAATATAATTATATATATTCCATATTGGAGCGAGTTATGAAACTTAAAGGTGAGAATATTGTTTATAAGTTTTTATTTTAAATCTATTTTACTAACTAACGTACCCACCTGTACACGGGACACATTGTATAATATCTAATTGTGTGCGTGGACATAAATTTGTATATCGAAAGGGCTCAGTAAATAATTATATCTTACAATATTAAAATATCCATAACTTG